CAACCGACCGAGACTCAACCCTTACTGCCCCCAACCCAACCCAACCCAACCCGACCCCAAAACCCATCCCGAGCAACCGACCGACTAAGCCCACCCTACCCCCCAACCCAACCCCCGACCGACCCTACCCTACGCTACCCTACGCTACCCAACCCACAAACCAACACAAAACACAGAAACCAACACCAACCCCACCGACCGACCGACCGAGCCAAACCACCCTACCTCCAACCCAACCCAACCCGCCCCAAAATTCAACCCGACCAACCGATCGACCAAACCCACCCTACCCCCAACCCAACCCCCGACCGACCCTGCCCCACGTGACCCCACGCTACCCTACCCTACCCAACCCACAACCCAGCACAAAACACAGAAACCAACACCAACCCAACCGACCGACCGACCGACCGACCGACCGAGCCAACTCACCCTATCTCGAACCCAACCCAACCCGCCCCAAAACACGACCCGACCGACCGACCGACCGACCAAACCCACCCTACCTTCTACCCTACCTTATCATACCCTACCCCACCCTACCCAACCGAACCCAAAACCAAACACAACCCGGCCCCAAAACACAACCCGACCAACCGACGGACCCACCGACTTACCCACCGACCCGACCCTACCCTACGCTATACTTCACCCAACCCAATCCAACCCAACCCAAACCACAATCCAACGCCAACCCGACCGACCGTCCGACCGACGAACCAAACCCACCCTCTACCTCCAACCCACCCCAACCCGCCCCAAAACACAACCCGACCAATCCAACCGACCAAACCCACCCTACCCCAACCCCACCGACCGGTGACTGACCGACCGACCGACGGAAGAAAAAACACTGGATTGATTGGTGGCCGCGAGGTTTCTATAACAGACAGACCACAGCAGCTGCACACAGCAGTAGCCCCCCAAAAAAAACGATTTGACCTATTCTTTGTGTGCCGCAGCCGGTTGCGCCGCCACCTCCTCACGCACACTGCGCCACCGTCGTCGCGGCCGCGCTGCGCGCTGGGCGCGAGACACGGCGCGCAGCACCTTGTGTGCCTTGGGGTCCCTCCTCGCGAAAGAGCCGGAGGCTGAAACATCAAACAGCGCGTTTTTGAAAAGGGACGACAACAACAACAACGACGACGACGACGACGACGACGACGACGACGGCCAACAAAGTTTTGTTTTATACGTACTGATGGAGTAATGGACCTTGACAACCGGTTGCAATCCGGCAGGTAGGTGCGGTAATCCTGCGTGACATCAGTCCTGGTGACGACGCCATTCAAGTTCAAGTGTAGATTTCACTATGGCTGGGTTGCCCAGAGCGGTCTGATGGTTCGCGACTCCAACGGGGATGCCACGGACATGCGTCTTGTCGTTGACCACCATTCCTTCGGCTCGTGTCATGGGAAGAGCAATTCGGACTCAGAGGGGGCAATAACCAAGTTGGCGGAGAGAACGAACGTCGTGAACGGTTCGTGGGTGGTGCGAAACCCGGAACATCTATGGGAGCTGCCTTCTTGCTGGAGGAGCCTTCTCCCGACGGGGCGGATCGGTTTTACCAACAGAAGGGCCGCAGCCGAGGAGGGCAGCAGCTGCTGATGACCAAGGTGTGCAGCCATCAGGTGAACCCAACCTCCGCTTTCCGAAGAGTATGGCCCGATGACAGGTCGACCTTGGCTTGTTAAGGCATCGTTAATCGTTTAGTCGAGGCTCGGCTTCGAGGTCTCAAACAATAACAACGTAGCACGTCTAACCGGCCCTGATAACAAAGGCACCACGTAATTATAAGACCGAAATAGCACGGCATCTCTCGACAACATGGCGTCCTGTCTCCTACCCACCCACGGCGCAAGTCAACTAGCCAGGTACATTTTTTCTGCTGTGTGATCCTGTGTTTTCTACATCGCCAACGTTGTGTGTCCACATCATTCATTGTGTTGCCGTAGGTCTCGCAGGCCGAAGACGGTGCTGAGAGCAGGAAGAATTTCCTCCTCACAAAGAAGAAGAACACGCTTCTTGGAAGAACGTACCTTATTGTTCGGCAAGGCGATATTCCCGATACCTTCCGCGCGCCGCTGCCCGATCTGAGGCGAACGCAATCCCCGTCTCCGGTTGTCAAAGCATCAGCAAGACGATAGCAACAGACACCCCGGGTGTTTTGGCGACCTACACGCTCTCGTGCAGATGTGTACCCTGGTTGGCGGGGGAGGGCGGTGGGAGGGAGGAAGAAACACGATTGAGTACCGTCGGTGTTCTCGGTCAGACAAGCAACAAAAACATCGCGATCTTGTAGTTAGTTTTTATTGTCGTTGTTGTCTTCGCATCAACAATCGCCAGTGAGGGAGCATGTTTTTTCGAATGTTTCACAATACCAGGTCGCTCCGAGGTTCGAATAACAGTCGACGAGAATAATCTATAACTTTGAAATATTATACTTTCTACATGTACGTTGAGGCGATATTTATACGGTCGGTAAGCCGATGGATCAGACCGTGTCGGTAGACAGGGTCGATAGGGTGCGGGTGGCGCCGCATCGCTCTCATCCATCCACCACTTCAATGTCCAGTACAGTACCTGATGAATTTGAACTTGTCAATATACCGCCGCAGGTAGGTGTGGTTCGAGCAGGAGGATACAAACCGTTCCAACATATTGCAGATTGTTTTTCCCTGTTTCATGAGTAATTGCGACTGTTACACCATAATACCAGGTCGCTCCGAGGTTCATGCAACAGTCCACTATAATTATCTATAACTTTGGAAATATTATATTTCCTACATGTACATTGACGCGGTATTTATACGGTCGGTAAGCCGATTGATCACACCGTGTCGGTAGACATGTGCGGGTGGCGCCGCATCGCTCTCATCAACTCACCCCTAACCCTCAACAACGTCACTAATGAATTTGAACTTGATGGTATACGGCCGCAGGTGTGGTTCTTGCAGGAGGATGGAGCCGGAGAAGTGCCGACTCTTCCGTGAGGGCATCACGGAGGCACCCGCTGAGTGGCCACGGAGGACGAGAGGAGACGAAGAACTCAGCTCCAAACACGAGCAGACGGAAGTTATGTTTGGCGTGATGCAGGCTTCCCTCACATATGGCTCCGTAGCTCATCTGAGAGTCAACCCGAGTGATTATTGTGGGCAAGGACGTGGTTCCCGTGTTCATTGGGCGAACGGCTCCTAGCGATTTTTCTTCCCGGTCGTCGAGGGATGGCATGTTTGTCAGTAAGGACACCATGGTATAGATATATGACATCGTCCAAGTACGAGGGAGGGTACAGGAGTATGATGTGCCCGATGGTCCCTACGGGGGGGAAACCAGGGCAGTGCCCCTGCGACGTATTGCAGGGCTGGGGCAGAGCCTAGAAGGGTACATGGAGAGAGTGCTCGCAGCTAGTTCAATCACCTTCGACCACGCGGTATCGCATGCGTATCGGCGTCGTCGACCATGCCCGGTCGAATCTCGTCCTCATGTCCACAAACCCGGGGAATGCTTACTCAGGGTTTAGCCCGGTGGCAATTGAGTTCAGCTGACCTCAGTCGGGCCCCAGTCAACCAGAGTATGTTCGTTCGAGGTTGGGGAGGCGTTTCGTAAAGGGTTCAGAGCCCCACCCCAGGGTAGGCGAACTGCGTGGCGTGGCCTCAAGACGTTTACTGCCCGCGTAGAAATAATGATTATATGTCCGAGAGAGCGCCGACACAAAGACAGGGTAAAATGGGAAGCTTCGGAAGGGAAAAAGGCACTTGCGTGTATACCGAGGGACGTCGACGAGGGATACATCGAACAGTGCTTGCCATGATTCCGGCCAACAGGTTGTTCGCGTGGTGTCGATCGTGTTTTTTTGGAACACGACCTTTCTCTGTGTTTAGTCTTTCCGATCAGGTGTGTAGTACTTCTTCGGCCTCGGGTCGTAACCGGGCGGGCTGTGATTTTTCGTGATCGTTGCTCGTCTGTATTCAGTATGGTTTTCGAAGAGAGTTTAAGGTTCTGGTACTAGATAGACCAGTAGCACTTCCGAGGAGTAGGTTGCTCGCGTGGGATCGATCGTGTTTACTGTGAAACACGTGACCTCCGAGAACTGTGTTTGATCGTTCCGATTAGATGTGTGTGTAGGACTTGTTCGTCCTCGCGTCGTAACCGGGCGGGCTGTGCTTTTCGTGGTCGATACTCGTCTACCTTCGCAAGGCAACAAACGCATGACCCTGTCAAGAAGAGTTTGACGACCGTGCCTCTAGTTCCGCCAATTTATGTTTGTGCCGGATAACTATTCTCAGCCGAGATGGAAGCTCTACATACATATGCCGTTAAACCTCGTGAACAGCGACATAAACTATACCTAATCACCCCAGTATCCAGCAGGCCTGCTTCTTTCCCCACCCACTATGGGGGGCGGTGGGCCAATCGTTCCCCCTAGTGCATGCAAACAACGATGCCTGAAGCATTTCACGGAAGCTAGATAATACCGAAAAGGGGGTGCGCTCTTGAAGTTCCCAACTCTAAATTGATCTCGGAGTACATGCATATTGGATGCGGTCAAGCGAATCCCCGCTGCTTCTCTTCTGGTATAGGTTTAACAATTTACCTCCCTTGTATGGGCTTTCCTTCTCGATGAACGCGTACATACTTAAAACACGCGACATTACGGAGGGTTTCTCCCCGGTATACTGCTGTCACTCACCTACCAGGGTTTGCACGGAGGATATTCTGGTGGTAGACTACAGTACATCGTACTATTTTCGATTTGCATCAGCAAGACCGCTCACGCCGACCACCACCGCTGCCACACCCGTCACGCCATATCTGTGGCGAAGAATACCCTGGGTGATGGTCGTCACCTTCGTTCGCAGGAACTCCTCCCCTTGGTCCATTCGGAATGCGAACGTGTTGTCTTGCTGGTTTGCACCGTTGTTATTGCTGCTGTTGCTGTTGCTGTTGCTGTTCGTGTTGGTGGTGCTGGTGCTGGTGCTGGTGCCGGTCCTGATGACGATGTTGTTTCTGCTGGAACTGCTGATGCTGCTGCTACTACTGATGTTGTTGCTGCTGTTGCTGATGCTGATGCTGCCGCTACGCCTGATGCTGTTGGTGCTGTTGTTGTCGTTGTCAGTGTTGCCGACGGCGCGAAGCAGCCATGCAAGAGGTGAGACCGACGGTCGCGGTTCCGGTGTGAAGTGCGGCCTCATCGCCATGTTTATTGTGTACCCGTGCACGGAGGGAGGGGCTTGGCAGGAGGGCGACGGCGCGAAAACGACGTACGGCCAAGTCTGCGTGGCAATGCTGGAGCACACCACAGACGGCGAAGAAGATGTGGAAGCCGGGGAAACAGTAGAAGAGGAGGACGACGAAGAGGGAGAGGCCGAGGGGACGTCTGCGACGAAGCCGTAGTCACGTTGTGGTAGATGCCTTCTCGGTGCTCCTGCACCATGTGGTCGATGAAGTTCGGGTACGCCTTCAACCTTGCGTCACAGCCGGGGCACACGCGGAGTGGCTGGTTGCCCCGAGTTGGCTGTCGTTGCCATAACAACGATGTGTTTCGGGCAACAGGCACGATGGTAACGCATGTTTGGTGTGGTGGGACGCAAATGGTGCAAGCACTGCCTCCCCAAGGTGATGGTTCGTTCGTTCCACGACAAGGTTTGGTGATGGCAGCCAGTCAACGGTGGCAGAGGATGATGGATAGAAAACACCCAACCTCGTGACCGTGAACAGTGCTTTGGCGCAACGTCTATATCTAACGATATCTACCTCACCGGCACGTCATCAGTCCATGTCATGTCATGCGCTCGTAGTACAGGGACGCAAGGCAGGTGGAAATCATTATCGTCATTTGCAGCGTCTCACCTCCATCTTGCTCGAGCATCCATCGCACACGACCCCGCCACATCCATCACACGCGCGCTTGGGCCAAAAAACACCGCAGAACCTGTTGCCTGCATGGCAAGGGCAGAGAGAGACATGTTCAAATGTCGTGGACGCCTGAATACATCACACTCGGCATCACAATATTGACTGCAAGGAACCCACCTTGCAGACAATCACTACGCAAAGGAAGCGCTACCAGTTCCCGTAGGGGTGCGTATGGTCATGGCGGTGCATGGCCTCGGCAGATCAGATATCGCTTGGGTGTAAACTACAGTAAAGCGAGTCCAAAGCCTTTCCACTTTCCAAATCCGGGTGTATTTGTAACAAAATAAAAATGCTTGTCCTGCGGGAGATCATCGAGGATGGGCACTGAAGGGAAGCATCTCGGTCGTTTTGGCACGTTTGGCTCGAAATCTAGCCCCCGCCCGCCCGCCCGCCCGCCGGCAATTGGTTTCTTTGGAGGTCATAGGAAAGGGCAGGCCTGCGGCGCGTGGCCAGTCCGTGCACTCGAATGACACTTCCTCGTGTAGAAAGAAATACTGTACAGTAGTGAAAAAGGGAAATCTGACCCGGTGTTAATGAAACCGTCAGGTGAACAACAATACCGCATCCTCGAGTCACCGCCACATGTGGCACACAAGCAGCCGAAGTATGTCACAAGACCAGTAGTGGCGCTAAACCCTGAGCAGCCCGCCACAGCCCCGTACAACAGCACCAAATACCAATCACAGCTTGAGCCACAGGTCCGCCAACACAGGAACAGCTGCAGCCGGTCTCACGCTCTCCGTCCACAAACCAAGGAAGGTACGCCATGAAACCATTCCAATGTTTATGTACCTCCCCGACTTGTGGCTAGGGCGAGCCCATAGGCGCCGGACCCCCCCCCCCACGACGAGGTATTAGGTAGCGCCGCGGTCTTGGAAAACATGGGGCCTGGAAGAATCATGGTCCCATCCCGGTACCATCCGGTGTGGGTCCTGATATATGTATGTAGTAAATGGATCCCGGCATGTAAGGGACACATACAGATACGATCATCAAGCCGATGCATAATGTATAGCAACAAGAGGAGGTTTTTCGCTCCATTGAGACGGCATTCAATACCGGTTATATTATGTCTCGAACGGGCACAGCAGTGGTATTTCTGTGTTTCTCAATGCATGTAATCGAACTATAGTGTTTCTTTGACACCAGCGGTGATCAGTTACATTATTTATGTGCGCACCTACCTCAGGTGCCCGTAGATTCAATGCCGGTGCGATAATAACTTCAATGATCTATCCCGCAGGTGCGACAGACACTTCCTTGTCCAATCCAAGGCGGTGCTACGTACGGGCACCCAGGTGCCATGACCGTGATAGGTGTGATACTGAGTACCACCGCAGCTGTTTTCCCGGTACCAGCAGATGTGGCGTGGGGTATGTACTGTAGCGCACAGCGTTCATGTACAAGATCCCGTTGTCGAAAATGCGGCGAAATACATTACGCCATCCCGACAGAGGTCTTTCTGGCTTTCTGGGATGGTGTGTCGATTTCCAAGATGGGATACCACACATACAGCAGTATTCACCAAACGTTCTTCCGTACAAGGTGTAGACACCACGCAGACCGGCCCGGTGGGCCCAAATACCAGACCTGTTCAGCCTCAATAGTCAGTCAAACAATGCGAGAGTGGTTGTTCGTTGGATACGATTTTTTTCCGGTAGAATACGTTTGTGAAGTCGATCCACTTCTCCATGCCTCCTCTCACACGCCTGTGCGCGAGTCTGCCCTTGATCACTCTCAGCTAGACTATCTTACACACTCCCCCTGCCACCGGACGCGGTTGGCTTTCAAGAGGACGGGGCAGTTTGCATCGGGACGGTAGGCGGCACAATTGCAGCAGATTGTACCATTGTGCCCGCCAAGAGACACCCCGAAAAGATGGTTCGAAACGGTCGAAAGGTTCCTCAGGAACGGTTCCCCCTTTCTTGGAACCGGTATGCATACATATCAGCCGCTCTGCTATTCAAGCATCAAAGCACACACCTCTCCACCCCGCTGTTGTTTGTCCCCGGCTGTCTCCGCCCTGGGCGTTGCTGTCGCTTCACGGTGGACCGGGCCAGGGCCCTGCTAAGGTGCGGAATAATGACGCCACCCGCAAGCGACAACTCCCGGTTGTGTACTATTTATTGCGTAGGACGTGTTTTCAGAATGGAGTACTTGTAGCAACTCAACGCGATCACGCGGGAGGTGCTCGCTACCCCACCACTCCCTCCGACATGACACCTCTGTAGGACTCATGTTGTGCATGTTGCTGTGCCGCTGCCTGGCTGTCAAATGTGTGTGTGTGTCAGAAGATGCTTCACATCTATGTAGATTGCTGTGTCAACCTGATCACCCCGAAACTTTCGCCAACCGTGTGTGTGTGCTGCGGCAGAAGATTGCTGCTGCTGTACAGCCTGTTACGTCATCATCCAGGATGAGGTTCTAACCGTGTTCTTTCCTCGTGCTACGCTATAGCGTTGCTGTTGTTGTTGCTGCTGCTTGCTACTGCTGCTGCTGCTGCAACTGTTGCTGCTATCTCCGTTTGCTTGGACTACAATCGCACAGCAGTCTACTTATGGCAATGACACTACTGTACTGCTGTACACATCACATGAACATACATACTGTGTGTACACACGTACATTGACAATTCTTCAAGTATTCCCAGAATGTCGGGTCCCACGACAGTTTGCTACTCCTACGCTCTTGCTACAATGTAGTTCAAGAACACACATCGACGCACTACAATGTCTGTGAGACAATATGCTGTGTCCCCAACACTGGTGGTGGTATTTTCTCTGCTACCACTGCTGCTACCCCGTCTCCGCAGAGACGCGCGGTAAGTGCCCACATCATGAAGTACCGTAAGAGGCGGAGAGATGGCACCCCCCCCGACAGACTAATTTTCAAAACTCGATTGCTCCACCTTCAAGCTTGCACCAACACCAAGGATGGTGGTTTAAACATCTCGTCGAGGGCTTTCCCTAGCCGTACAGTATCAGGCTCTTTTCGTGCCCACTTGGTTGTGGAGTGATCGAGCGTTGAAAGTCGGTTGTGCCACCTCCCCGCCTCTTACGGTACTGCCGTCAGCACTTCATGTATGGCATGCACCCCCCCGACCCCTTAGGCATGCCGTCCATCGTGGGTAAAGTCGGAGCGAAGCTTAGGCTCAAGATGAGCAGCAGCCCATGGGCGGGCGTGGCCATGTTCCTTTTCTCGTGGGCAGCAGCCCATTGGCCAACTAATGCCCATGGGTTCATTCATAGGCTGATAAACAAAATGTGGTACAAGTAATGTCTGGAACGGGTATTTTCCTGTATTTTTTACGTACATTTTCTGAAAACTTCCGACGTGCGGGACACCGCATCCCCTGCGCCAACATCTATTATTGCGTATCCGGCGGCTTCTGCAGGTGTAAAATGGGACGGGACGCGGTTTCCGGGATATTCCGCGTGGCTCTGGTCCTCGCCTTTCTGTGTCCCGGGGTAGTACGGGGTAAGTTAAGCCGGGAGGCTATGGGTTTTTGTGCAACCGGTAGACATGCGACGTCCCATGATGACGTGGGTTTTCACAACGGTTTTCCCGCGATAGGGCGACGCGCTGTTCGGTGATGGACCGCGTTGAACGTTCAACCATTCACCGCGTTTCCTCTCAGGATTGTGCTGTACGCAAAACCGTGTCGTGTGTGCGCAGCTCTTGACCATCGCCAGAAGTGAACGGTTGATCCGCATGCTTTGTCGTCTTCACTTTTGGAAACCGTTCCGGTCTCCGCTCAGTATATACCTTCCGTCTCACGTGCGTACTGGTCCAACGGACGCGAACGCCTTCCGTGGTCACAAGCGAACAACCAAAAGAGGGGTAGACCTATGCGGGAACATGGAAATATCTTGACGCGGGTTCTTGATGTTGCCTTCGTCCGTCGTAGACTTCGCCGTGTGGGACCATCGTACACCTGGAATGTGTTCCTCGAGGGTACCGCCAGAGGCGGAGCGATTGCACCCCCGCTTGACCGGCTTTCCAAGCTCCACTGCTCCATAGTCAACGGGGTGTGGAAAGAGCCGGGCACGTCGACGGAAGCCTCCGACGATATGTTTGCAATGCCACCATTTCTGGTGTTGGCTCAAGCTTGGTTGTTGAGCAATCGAGCTTTGAAAGTCGGTCTAGGGGGGGTGCCATCTCTCCGCCTCTCACGGAATACCACGGTACGGTACAATATACGGTACGGTACAATAAACGGTACGGTACAGACAATCTTGGTCGTGGAGCAATCGAGCTCTGAAAAGTCGCTCTAGGGAGGGGGTGCCATCTCTCCGCCTCCTACGGTATACGGTACTTACAGTATTGTCCTGGGCCTGGCCTGGCTTTTTTTCTGGCACATGGTGTGTATTGTCCGCGTAACATTGGCAGTCTGGGGGTACCAACAAAGTCTGTCGTCCTTCCTGAACGCGTGGTTTGTTGGCGGCAGAGAAGGATGGATGCATGCGGCACCTCCACCGTGGTCTATGCGCCTAATGTAGGACATGCGACTCCATGCCCAACGTCCATCCTTTGGTGTTGGTGTCCTTGTGAATCGAAGTGCATATACTATGGAGGCACTCGATATAACGCCGGTATGTACCCGGCGCATCGACCGGTGCTACATGTTCAGAGAGACCAGCTATTCGGCGTACTGAAATACTTGGTAGTTCAGTATGTGCCCCGCGGGCGGTATAAAGGGCCACCGGCACCAATCAACCGGCGTTTTTGACGCCTCCCACCACTGTATTTGTTGTTCTGCGCCTTTTTGTCTGAAGCACGAGCGTTCAGGGGCACTGCTGTAGCCCCCATCCTTTGACCTACCCTCGTACTCAAACGAATTGTTTCCGGGGTTCGGCCAAGGTGAGACCTCCCAAGCAGGCCACGTCTACAGGTCTACCTAAGCCGTTACGTGCATCGCTTGGGAAAGAAAGAGAAAATATGTTCCTCGATCTCATATGCGACCATTCTCCTCCCTCCTGCCCCGCCAACCCCCCCGCCATCGCGACATCCAGTTGCATCCCACCAAGCGTCCCTTGGAACCGCGACCGCGAATAGACCAGCGTCCATCGCGGCTGCGGCTGGGACAAACCTACGTGCGCAGACATTGCGTACTCTGCAGTCAGGGGGTGAGTGGTGAGGTAGCGTGCGGCCGTCGTCGAGAAACCAAGCACTTGGAAGGCGTGGGTAAGGTGTGGCCGTTTTGTCTCCACCTTTGAAGCCTCTCTGGCCTTCATCCAATAGGACTCCTCCTTGTTACTCTTTTCAAGGTCTAAAGACGAGCTTGGGTCGTCGACGACCGACCCAGGATGTGTGATGGAATATCCATACGGTTTTTCTACAACGATTGAACAGGGATTTGTCCCTCAATGCGTCATGTAGAAGTTTCATAAGTGTCCGGGGGGGAGCTGGCCCGCTGTACTTGCACGCGACTTCAGCGTCCATTGTCCGCTGATTCTGTCTGTGGCAACGCCCCGAAGGTATATCTCCGACCGGTCGTCTGACGGGTCGTCTGACGCCCAATCTACGACAGTCTGAGGTGTCAATCACAATCACGACGAAAAATTAACTTAGACTTATAGGGTAGACAAAGGCCCAGATAGAAATTAGCCCATTGCTCACGCTCGAAGCTCAGCCCCGAGACGAAACACAAGGTATTCTACAGCTTTTCTACGCTTACGTGTGGGGCCAACACAGTGCCGTGGCTCCGCCGAAGTAACATAAGAGGGTGGTGTGACCAAGGCCCTCGGCCCTCTTTATGTCGCAACCCCCTCTTATATCGGAATAAGCGGGTACCCAACCTGCTTTGGTGGGCCGAGTCCGTGACAGCTTACTTCGACCCTCTTATATCGGAGGGCCCCCCTCTTACAAGGTGGCCTCTCATATCGGCGCCACGACTACTGCTGTACAAAAAACAAACGATACAAAACAAAGCGAGAGTTGTGTTTGCAAACACGGGGGCCCACACACACCGACGAGCGTACCGTTGCGCTCAGAGGACGCGGCCGCCAAAATCAAGTCCAAAGGGGGAATGGGGTATGTATAGTTGGTCGGGCGTGTTTTGTTGCCGTTTTGACTATTTTATTATTTTCGGTTTTGGGGATGCGGTATGATTCGGTCGACCCCCCCGCGGCAATTTGAATCGTGGGTCAGTTCTCTTGGCCTTCGAAACGCTGTGAAATCGACCCCAGGTGGTTTAGTTTGGGCATGAGGTCCTTGAGAATGATTTCGAAATGTGCCAACGCAGAAAGAAACCTTACGTTGAGGGGTAGGGTAGGGATAGCGCTAACAACGATGTTGGGAACGACTTCAAGAGCAGTTGGAACCCACATCCAAAAGGGACCACCTGCTTCAACAGCAGTGTGTTCTTATCTTTTGGCTGACACGAGCTGTGACGGATACGACCCGAAGGCACGGTTGGCAATAGGGTTAGGGTTCGAGTTGGTGTTAGTTAGGGTTTTGAGAGAGATGATTTGAGCAGGAAATCGGATTGAATGTTATTGCCTTGTCCCGACCATGGGAAACACATGTCACCCAGTACTCTGGTGTAAGAGAAAACCGGATTGAAGAGAGAGAGCGTTGTTGCCTTGTCCCAACCAACACTACTGCTGTACAGCACCTACAGTAGGTGGGTACAGACCGACGGCAGGAAATAAAACCTCCACCCACCCGATGCCCGCGTATATCACGCGGCCGTGTGGCTACGTACCGCGTCAAGGCTTCCACGCTACAGATGGATTGATGCTACGGTATCGGGGTGCAATTTTGGGGGTGAAAGCTTACACCTTTAGGAGCAAACGCGTAGAGTCCTGTCTTGGGCGAGCTTACAGCGATGCAGGACGCGGCCGTTAGGACTCGTCAACGCCCATGTTTGCTGCCTCCCAGCTGTACGCTTTGCCCTCAAAGCCGCGTATCAAGAGTCTTGTCTCCCGACCCGAAAGTGCAAGATGAGGTGACCCGCATACCGATGCATTCAACGCTTCTGCAGCGGCAATTGGCTCTCTTCCCCCGTTTTTTTTTTTTTTGTCGCGGTGGCTGTACTTTTTTGAACGCCTTGGCCGAAGCAGGCACTACCCCGCACTACTCGATTTACTGTTTTTTTTTTTTCCCGCAGCTATGAAAACCGTTTTGTAACCGTTCCGCCTTCTTTTTCTCATCCACTTGCGCAACCCAGATACACCCGCGCCCACTACCGGATCGACAACCGTGGTGACGTCGGCACCATTTGTAGCTGCAGGTGATTGTTCGCTGCTGTTTAATCCTCGCTTTTCGGTCCGTTACGGTAGCGGGGATTGCTGCTGTTGTCGCTGTCGTTGTTGCCCCCCAGCTGCGAAATTCGTTTCGTAATCGTCCCGTCTTCTGTTTCTCTCCCGCTTGTTTAACGCAGATGCACCCGCGCCGACGCCCGGACCGATTATCGCGGTGACATCAGCACCGTTTGTACCTGCAGGTATGTAGTAGGTGATTATTCGCTGCTGCTTTCGCGTCATTGTTCGTCGCCGACACGGTATACGGTAGAAGCGATTTTCGCCGTTGTCGTCGTTGTCGTCGTTGTTGTTGTTGTTGTTGTGCTGTCGTTGTCGTTGCTCTGTGCGTGTGTTCCATATCGAGCCTTCAGGTCTTCTCCCGACGTTGTGATTTCCAGCACATTTTTTCACCGTATGAAATCGGGCGGTTCAAAGTTGTAAGTAGGATGGTGTCGACATTGGCCAACCGTGGCCGTTGTTCAACACCATGTTGCTGTTGCTGTTTCTGTTGCTGCTGCTGCTGCTGCTGCTCTTGTGCCTTCGGCACCATTTCAAGCCCTAGACTGCACGTTCGTTTGTTTTCGGGGATCCGGTTCTCGTGACAAACAAACCTGCTGCTGCTGCTGCTGCTATTGCTGCTGCTGCTGCTACTGCGATCATCATCATCATGGATGATCATAGATGATCATAAATGATGATGTTGTTGCTGCCCCTGCTGCTGCTGGTACTTCACTGCTGCTCTTCTTGTGCTTCGACACGAATCCTGCTGCTGCTGTCGCTGCTGCTGCTGCTGCTGTTGTTTCGCGGCAGACGCCGACTCGACGTGCAGCAACGGGTTCCCGGGCGTGGAGTCCGAGAACGGCAAGACCTGCTGCCTCACGAGCTGCGGCTTCTGCGCGGGGGACGGGTGCTCCAACCAGGGCAACGCCACCGACTGCTGCGCCACCGAGATCTCCCTGCACGGAGAGGAGTGCGACATCGCCGGGTCCGCCCCCTGCTACGTCGTTACCCCCGAAGAGGACGGCCCCGAGCACACTCTCGTGTACTTCACCCTTTTCTTCGTCATCCCGTTCGTTGTGATCGCCCTGGTGTGCAACGCCACCTTCCCCCGCTGGTGTCGGGGCAGGGACCCCGACGCGCCGCTTGACGAAGCGGCGGCAACAGCGCACCTTCAAGGGCACAACACCTCGCCACGTCGGGTTCCACGACCGCGACGCAAGACCGCCGCGGTCGCGGGCGGCGAGGAGGCGGTAGAGGCTGCTGCTACGGGGGGGGCGGAGGCGGTGAAGACGTGCGAGGCTTCCGCGGCGACTCCAACGCCATCACACCGCGGTGATACACCGTCCGTCGGCCTTCCCCGTATAGAGTAGGTGGCACAAGAGAAGAGAATTTGTGCCACTGTTCAGGGCAGTTGGGCCACTGTTCGATATATATGGGGTGCATCCAAGTGTTGAAATTTGTGCCAAGAGGTTTTGATGCCACTAAATCGGCGGTTTCACTATTCAAGTTGCCACTATATCCGGCCGCCTACTGTGTACCGAACTATTCGCAGTGTAGATAGCTGGGTGCGGGTTATACCTTCTCGCTGGCGGTGTGATAAACTGCCCGTCCGCCTCTTCCCGATACCGAAATTTTGGTGCGGTAGATAGCTTTGGGTAGTATGGTGTAGACACACCGCAGTGATCCCTCCTGCTTTCTCCCTACAAACTGAACTACCGTATACGACGCAAGACAGCACACCCCCTAGACCAATTTTTTCGGTCGATTTCGATTGCGCCACGAAGAAGAGGAGGCATAAACGAAACGATGCATTTGTCGGAAAGCTCTCGACAAGACGGTTTCAACACCTCGGCCGTTTTCGGCGCTGCGACTCTTTCTGCTGTCGATAAATCGAGCTTTGAAAAATCGGTCCAGGGGGTGTGTTATCTTGCGTTATGTCGTCTACCGTATTCACTCGGTGGATAGCTTGAGTGCGGGTGTAGAGACTCTCGGTGGCGGTGTGATGCACCACGGTTACAACGCGGGTTTTCTCTCCATGCTGTCAATACTCGTACCGTAAATAGCACGGTAGAACAGTTTTTTTGTGCCTGGGCTGATCCCTTGTGGTGCATGCATTCCCGGTAGTACATGTTTGGTTGTCTGGGCTGTTGTTTGGGTTTGTTCGTTGGCCTTGTAAGAAGTCATTGTTTTGAGTGTTGGCGTGTTTGCGCGCCAAAAGGGACGTGGTTTTTTTGCCGCGGTCGTGTGAATTTCCACTCAAAAGTGTTTGCATTATTAGTCATTTACGGTCAGTCTCCGGAATATTTCTTGATAGTTGCGGAAGTCAGATGCCGTAAGATGTGGAGATACATTTTTGGAGGATCTCGCTTACATGTTGCTTTTTGTTGGTTATTGTGTTGCGTTTAGTTGATCGTGTCGCGACATCCCTCGCTGTTACGCTAGCAGATCACCGCCTCAACAAGCGACGTCACATGCGGAATAGCGGGATTAGTTCCGAGAAAATTGTGTTTTGATTTTATTGCGGATTGTTGTTCATTTTATTTCTCATGTCGCGAGTTTGACGGCAGTTTCCTTGCTATATTCGCATATCCACCCCCTAAAAAAATCGACGTCAGATGCGGGAGAGGGGAGAGAGAGCGGTAACAAATTTTAGGATGTTGGATGTTGTGTTAAGTTTGCTACTTGTGTTGTCTGGTTTTTCTTGTTCTTCTTTCTCTTGTTGCCATGTCGTGAGTTTGGTGGCGGTTCTCCTTGTTAGCTTAGCGTGTCCACCCCCTCAAAAATCAACGTCAGATGCGGGAGAGGGAGGGAGAGAGAGCGAGCGGTACCAAATTTTGGGATCTTGTGTTTAGTTGGCTACTTGTCTTGTCAGTTTTTTCCGTGTTATTTTTGCTCTTGTTGCCATCTCGTGAGTTTGGTGGTGGTTTTCCTTTTTAGCTTAGCGTGTCCACCCCTAAAAACGAGAGCCGTATTTTTGGAGACCCAGATGCGAGAGTGGGAATCTCAGATCGCCGCTCGAAGTATCCTTCTTCCAACCGTGTGCTTGAGATCGGCAGGCAGCCTTGCGAAGAGGACCCATGGAGCACGCCCCGCTGCGTTCGGTGTTATTGTGGGCCAATTTTCTTGTCTAAACACGTAGCGTGTACAGGGGAACCGAGGGCTCTAGACTCTCTGCCGTCGATTTCAATTGGCTTGCGGACCCTTCGGGTCCTTTTTATCTAAGTGTACCTCATTTTAGGGTGAGTTAGCCTGTGACCGCGGGGGGGAATCGACCGGTCAATTGAGATCATTGAGATCATTGCGGACAGATGAAGGTACTGGGTAGAGATTTCGGAACAGTTCTATGGTGTGAAGACAACATTACCAAAGATCTGAAACTGGTGCACTTGAGGCGCCCGCCACCATTCAAAGGTGGCCGGGCTTGAGTTCCGATGATTCCGTCTCACGAGCAATCGACGCGCACGATTGGCAAGGGATCTTCCTGGAATATTGCAAAACCGCGCAACCGTTTGTTTCAGTGCCGTCGGTAACGGCAAATGAAACAGATTGCTTACTTACGCGTAAACGCCCCTATTCGGCAACTTACGCCAGCAATAGGTAACACCCGGGGCCCCGAAAAAAAGGGGAGGGGGCGTTGAATCAGGATCCCCGGTTTCCCGCTGTTTCCTCAAGGCAGACGCCGGAAAAGCGCAAACGACCACGCCCAAGTAAGCCCCCCGGTAACCTTCACAGGGTTTATCTATGAAGTGAACATGTTGGATGAAGAATGCACTCAACTCGGGGAAGTCGGGTTATAGGGTTAGTTAGGGAAACGGTCTGCGTACCCGCTTCCTGCTCTATTTCCGAACATAGATACTGCTGTAGAGGTGGCTTTCTCGCGAAGGAGGTCCAAACCCCCAACCCCTGTTATTATTTTTTTGTGTGTATGCGTGTGTGTGTTTCGACGAAAGGCGTCCGCGGATGCAACCATACACCTTGGGGTACACAGCGAGCGATTCTTTGAGAGATGTTTTCAGGCAAAGGGAGCATGCAAAAGAAGCAGAAGATGATGAGCGAACACCCACAGGCAGATAATAATCCGTTGACCTCTAGATAGCTACCATAGCCGCACGTGCGCTAGGGAGTTTTCATGGCTGCGCCGTCCCTCACCCGGCATTGGTCATGGGTGCGTGGGGGAGCATTTTCGTGACCTCTTGTAAAGAGTTTTAGATGACGAAATCAAACCATTACACAAGGTTCCCCGCCAAGGTTTTCGCCACCTCTGACTAGTCTAATGGTTTGATTCCGGGTTAAAAAACGTGTGGCCCCCTCGACATGTCCGTAGACCGCAAGCAAGCGCGGCCCAGGTGCAGCTAGTTGCGCCCCCTCCGCAAATCTGATGCGTGACCCGAAGTTTCGGCTCGTCTGTAACGCGTGCACGCGCAAAGACGCCATCGTCACCTCCATCCTCAAGCGGGAGGAAAGCAACCGCAAGAACTGCAAAACGCTGTACAGATAGCACCCCCCCCCGCACTCAAACAACTTAGAGTTAAGAACTGAGCCTCGAAACACAAAAAGGCAAAGACATTAGACTATGTAAGAGCGTAAAATGTTTTTTTAGCCCGACTAAGAATCCTTGCAGCAGTAACCGCCCGCACTTCTCAACTTTAGCCGTACACTAGTCAGAACTTGGGTACCGTTTTGGAACCTAGAGGTTCTGAACTAAGTGGGGGGGGCGCTCCCTTTACGTGTTTTTGTTCAAACCAACTCTTCCCAACCCCGAGGGAGACGCAAGGCTGGTAATCCTGCCGCCTCCGTGATACTCAGCCCAGCACATATCTCGCTACACGTTCTGCCATATCTTTTTCCTCCTCTCCTTAGCCGCAGTCGCATCCCTTCGAATCGTGTCTTGATCCTTCCCCCTGGTCCCCCCCCTCCCCCCAACGCGCTCGGTGGTCGTTTCGATCTTCAATACGTTTTTTTTGCCTCGTTTTTCCCCACTACGAAGAACGCTTGCCGGCCCTCTCTTCCTCCTTACGCCAGGCGACTATGATGGACCTCTCCCCCCCCTGTAGCATCCCGGTGTACCAAGGCACCCCCCCCCCCTCCACCTCCACCTCCACCTCCACCTCCACCTCCCCTGCCCGAGAGTTCAACACAGGCAGGTCGTATCCCGAACGTCCTCTTCTTGTCGTCGTCGTCCGTGGATTCCACTGTGGCACTGAACGATTGGAGGTCCCACCAGCACTTCCGCCAGGGCCGGGCACTCTTTGCCTG